AAGATTTAAAAATAAAATATATTATATTATAAATATAAGAACAACAATATATTTGTAGATACTTGCAAAAGGCAAACAATGATAATGAAGTATGAGTTCATAAACCATGTAAATGTTCTTTAAGTTAATCTTAATCTTTTTTACATATGCTGTCCTTAAACGTGCTGCAAACTGTCAATTGTATTTTTTATTTTTATCAAATGTTGCAAGAACAGCTGCAGCACTACTAACAACAACAACAACAATTATTCAACAACAAACACAATGCTGACAATATTGACAACATGCGAATAAGCGTTTGAAGCGAAAGTACACTTAATAGCGTAGCATAGAACCAGGAATAGCAACAACAACAACAACAATTACAACAAGAATATCAAACATTTTTATAATAACAAAGTTGAGAGTTAATATGGCAATCAAAAAAAAAAAAGAAAAAAAAACAGTACGAAACGAAATGAAACGAGCGAAATGAACGAGAAAGGAAGGCAAAATGGAAGCGGAAAAGGAAACATGTTGTTTTGCAACATCTTTGTTTTTATATCTGCAAGCATAAATAATTGGCGCTTGTTATTTCTGCAATAAGTGCTTGTCACAGTGAATTTTTTACATGAACAAATGAATGAATGCATAAATGAATGAATTCACATGTACTTTAACGAGTACAAAAATAAATGAATGAATGCTTGAATGAATAAGTGCGAGTGAGTAAATCAGTGACTCATTGCTGCTGCTGTTGTTGTTTTTAGTGTTGTTGTTTGCGGTGCGCTTAAATAAATAACATGTCAAGCGTGCAATTTCAGTTAAAATATTTTCTATCAATTTTCATTGTTGACTTCCATTCATTTACTTCATTTCGATCATTTTCTTTGTTTCACACACTAAAAAAACAAATTTAATTAATTTAACAATATTTTCTTAAAATTAAATTTCTTAAAGATTTCGATACTATATTTAGGAATAAATAGGAATAAAGCCTATTTAAATGCATGGCAACTTCGAAGTCTTAATTATCACACATAAATCTTAGCTAAAATCACCAATGTTTCCTGTTGTTGAAGTAATTTGCACCATATCCATTACTTCCGCTTTAGTTCGACAACAAAATTTCGCTTTAGTTAGTATTTCAAATAAAATTTAATTAATTTCTCTCAATGGGCAAATATATTATATATTTGCCCACTATCAACCTTGGTTCGCATGAAGTCGCCTCCATTTTGGTCATTAAGTTTTGTTGTGTTCGTTGGCACAGATAATCTCAAGTTTAGTGATTAATTGTTGGTCATCAATTGATAGTCAAGCTTTCCTGAAATACTACACTCACTCACCTGATAGACAATTCTGTTATTTCCGTCTCAACTCTTTTAGGCGAATTCAAGGATTTTATTGGAATTAATAAATAAATATTTAGAGAAAAAATAAACAAAACTGTTTGGAGTTTGGACTTTAAGTGCATTAAATTTACTTTAATAGTGTTTATATTATTTAAAAGTGAACTTAGTTAACTCACTCAATTAACAAAAATTTGGAATATGAGAACATTTTTGTCCTCATCTTCTTTGGATATGGGAAAATATGACTTAATGTCTAATGCAAAAATCTTCTCTGCTCTAGATGAAAAGGCATCAACAGACACAGCGTGAGACTTGAACCCACTTAAGACAACTTGTTTGGAATGAAATAAGTAGATCTCATTGATATGGTATTGAAGGGAAGAGTGAAAACGTAAATAATGAATAATGGAGTTACGAGAATTCATAAAACTTTAGGACTCTTTGAGTGTCTACACTATGGAGTAGGTTACTATATCCGCAGCTGTATAAAGGAATTACTTGAGTAGAGCTATTCGACTCATTGAAATAAACTACAAGGGATTGGGGAGACATAGTGGCATAGTGGAAAGTTGCTTGGTGTGCAGAATATCAGAAGGGAGATTATGTCGACGAGTTAGATAATTGAAATGAAAGAATCAAAAGAGCAGGCATATAAAAAGTGTGAGTGCTGCTACTATTTGTCTGTGTTTCCAGGGAAGAGTTCTTGATATGCTTCTTTACAGCACTATATTCTGCGTTGAATTATGCTCAAGCCATCGTTGTACAAAGTTGTTTCTGATACCACCACATAATTATTATTTTCTTAATAGAAAT